CCACCGGGTCCGCTTCGACCCGGCGTTTATTTCATGGCTAACGATATTGATTATTGCAAACCTAACCTGTTCGCTCGCTTCATTCTTTTTTTTTTTCTTTCTTTTTTCGCAGTCCTCCATTATCGATGCCTGGGGGGATGTGTAAAGAGACGGTTTCTCTGACCTTTCGAATAAGGAAATTTCGGCGAATTTCAGTTTGAAATTGAAGTATCTCTTTAAAATGAATTCCAAGGAGAAATGATATTATTAAAAATGTCCCGTGTCTGGTTAATAGGTACATACCTCGCTTAATTACTTCCGGAAGCAAGGTAGGATGTTTCTAGAGCTGCAACGCTATTAGCCTGTTCTTGTTCGGTAACAAAAACGTAACTAGGACTTTCCATTAACCCTACTAGAAAATTCTAGGGCCTAGAAAATTTCTGCCTCGATTAATTTTAGGGAATAGAATCATTTTTTGAACTTCTTAGTTCCTTCAATCCCTCTTGGGATTATTTTCCCCGAGAAATCGGAATATTCGCGCCTTTTCTTCATCGACCCGTCTTTAATCCGTTTATCTAGCCATTTTGTTCGCTGGTTGCACACTCGGTTGGCTTCGACCTCGATCCACCATTAAAATTCGGTCGATCGATGAAGCAACCCTTATTCTAGACCGACCGATACCAATAATTCCTCCGTATCGTTCTCTCGATTCTTTTTTAATTCGTTTCGCAAACGTAAAAATTCTAACTTACGGAGTGACGCGATAAAACCCGGTCGAATCGTCGACGGTTGTTTGCGGATACCGCGTACGCGGTGCGCCATTATCGCGAGCGAGACGGTCGCGATGGAAAGAAGAACGGAAAAATATCTCTCGGCGTGTCACGACGGTGCACCGTGACGGGCTGCAGAATTCCTCCCGCAGAAACGATTTTGTCGACTGACACGTACATCCTTGAACGATGACTCATCAAAATGTTTCTCTATCGATACGTATCTGTTGGTTGGCCACGGCGAGAATAATCCTAGGATAAAAACTTGCCGTTTTTTAAACGCTATTAATGGATCACGTGGTGTGCACCTAGACACCTCTGGTTTAGACGCGCACACCACGCCGCGTATCTCTCCTACACCCGTGTATCCTCTATACGCGGAAGCGTCGAAACAGTAAATGGTAGGGGGAGGAGGAGGAGGGGCAGGAGGACCGGGAAAGAGAAAGAGTGCTGAGGGGAGGAGGGAGCGAGACAGGGAGGACGAACGAGGATTTCAGACTCTCGAAACGCAGCGGTATTTGCCGCGCTTTGTCGTTCGTTTTGTACCTCGGCGTGACTCTGCCGCTGGTGCTGATTACGCAATGCGTGGCCATGAGAGGAGCGAGTCGCGTACACGGCATACACATACACAAGTTTATCCTCGGTTTAAGGACGTGTGCGTCCCAACGAGAATGTAGCGCACGCGTGTGCGTGGCACGCATACGAATACCATCGGCGCGCACGTGTGCGAGCGCAACAGGCGTGCCTGACTGTGCGTGTACGGTTCTATTATAGCTGTGCTGTTTTGCGAACTATGGGTCGCGAGATCGCGAGCGCGCGCTTAGATCGCTTAACCTATAACGCGTCTCGGTGTCGTCGATGATGATGGCCCACATATCTGCTTCTGTTTACAACACAAATTGCGAGCCGGGCACACGCGTACCAATACTGTTAGTGTTTCGAATCTTCCAGTCTCTCTTCTACCCTCATCCTACTTTCGATCGAAACGCATATTATTTTTCTCTATTCATCGCTGATACCTCGTTGCTTTCGGGGTCACAGAAGTGTGGCCGAGTGACGTTCGTTCTCTACGACGCACGCCGCGTGTTGCGTGCGTGTCATCGTGGATACGCGTTTGTCAGGGGCGTGAGGGCGGTGCAGTTTTTGTGTGCATCGTTAGTTGGCTGGTAGATACGATGAATATACATAGGCGCGTTAGCCTAGGAACAATGGGGTCGCCGGTTGTGACCACGATGTCGGAATGGACGAGAAGCGAGCGGTGACGATGGATAACGCTGGGTGACCGTGATGGTTAAGGGAATATAACGGGACGAAGTAACCCATTCGTCGAGCGGTACACGCGGAGGATTAACCGTGAATGTAGCGTGCGTTAACCAGCATTTCGTTGATTCGTAATCGTTACAGGAATCCTCTTATCGGATGACTAGGAACGTTTCATCGAGCATAGAGGCGCGTCCCTCTATCTAGCCGCGTAACTCGATTCGATATATCGAAGTCGTAAATATCGTTTAATCGAGCATTATCGCTAGCTAGCGCCACGCTCTTACGCGTGATCGAACGAATTGTACGCTCGTTAGATCTACGCGATTCGCTTTCCTGCTTCCTATTTCACGAATTTCACGATTAACCGTTATCAGAGCGAGACCGTTCTTCGTTAATCGGTATTAGAGTAGATCGGCCGGCTTACGCTCTCGGTACCTTTAACGAGAGGAATGATACGAGAGGATTGGAAGTAATTAACGGCTTAATTATACGCGGCCATTGTCGATCGACTACGAATAGCATATTTCCGATCCCGTTTAGACGGATGACGTTTCGTTTCGCGTGACACTAGAAAACGAATTTTAGTTTTACAGTTTTACGACTGTCGGAGACTAACTTTTTTCGTGTCTGCTCGAAAACTGGTCGAACACGATCCGCGGTATCCACGCGACTAAATAAATATGTATAACCAAGAGGTGACTCGATGGTGCCTGTTATACGTGCACCTTTCGAGGAACGCAATTGTGTACACTGTCACGGTCTTCATTTGCGTCTGTTCCCTCGGTTCGCTTCGTTTCCTCGGATAACTTTCCACCACGCTTCATCGGATACGTTCGACAAACTTTTTCTCACCTGTTCCAGAGATACCTGATTCTATTCGTTTAAAACCATTCGATCGCAAACGCGGATTTGGATGTGAAAATTATAAAATTTTTGTACGTTGGTTCATTCAGGTATCTCTTGATTGAGGGTAGAGTTTAGTCTTGGTAGAATCTAGGGAAAAATTAGGGAGGAGCATCTAGGAATACTTACCTTTAGTCTTAGTAGATTCTAGGGTAAACTTAAGGAAAACTCTAATAGGTAATAGAGGATAATTTACGAAATTCGGAAATTTATAAAGGAACAACAAATGACGCGAATTTACACCACTAGAATATCCCCTCCAACGTTGTTCGCAGCAAATATAACACTGTCAGCGGAGAGGCGATGAATCCAGCTGATTCAACAGAATCACTTTACGCAATCGTTGCCAGATAATATTCGTAGAATAAACAATAATTCATAGAGGCTTTAATGAACTCGCGCGACACTGCGCGCGTCAATTTTATCCGTCGAATCGTTCAGGGCATTCGGAACGGTCGTCATCGAGGGGTCAAAATATGTTTTTCAAGTAGAATAAAATACGATTTCGTAATCGTTGATTACGCGAAACGTTTTTCCTTGTTCCTTTTATTTATTTACTTATTTAATATCGAAGAGAACGGGGCCTGGGGAGGTCGGGGATACGGAGCATCGCGTCAAGTTCGATCGATACATCGTCATCGCGATGATTCGCCTCCACTTTTCTTACGGCCGATTTAATCAAGCGGTTTGCACGATTTCATTACGTAATCCATTTATCGAGGTTGAAGACGGCGGCGGTGGTCTGCGTCGATGTCGAAAGAAGGAAGCTCGCGTGGAAAACGGTCTCCCGCCACATTTCAGAAATTCCCTTCGATCGACCGCTCGATTCCAGTCCGATCCTATCGTTTATGTACCACGCCGTGTATCGCACCATGATGACGTGCCATTCACCGTGAAAACCATTCACTCAGGGTATTAACAAGGTCGTGCAAGGTCGTGCAGAGACCAGCCATCCCGCGTTTATATATCGGATATACATAACCGTGTACAATATACTTAAAACGAATACGCGTACAGTGAATAACGTATTCACGGTGTACTATTTACACGCGTGTTGTATCGAGATTTGCGCGCGAAACCAACGGGAAAGCTGGTTCTATCGATCCGAATGCGTAGAAAATGCTATTGATTTCATGGCCCGACCCGACGACCCTCTTCCCTCCGCGTTATGTGTAGTCGCGAGGACCGAGCAGGCGGATCAGACGGATGAGGCAGGATCCTCGCCTTTTTCCACCCACCTCCTCCTTCAATCTCTTATCCTCCTACGAATCTTTTCCATTTTTCAATCGACCGTCCAAGGATTCTCCGATTCGCTTATTTTTCTCTTCCCCTGCGGGAAGGGAAACGCAACGGGGACGTTGTTGCAAATAATTCAACGACGGTGCTCGTATTACGGACGCAGCAAGCGTCGCCGCATGACAACCTCTTTGTTTTGCAATATCACGGTATAGTTGTACAGTCGTTGAATGAGTAATCGGTGCACAACTCATTCTCGTCTTCCTCCGTAGCAGAGGTTTTGTAAATTTTTTCAATTCTCCTGGCACACGGTTATCGTCCTCCCGGCTAATCGTTTGATTTCATTTTTCATCGCGAATTCCGCCCTTCGACCGAGCGAGGAAATGTTCGCGTCCCTGTTGTCCGCGAAACAAACGTTGCGTACGTGACCGTGATTCGACCGGCGAAGGGGTGAGGAGAGAATTACATAAAAGGCACGAACCGAGCTGAGTCGCCTATTCGCCCAACCTACGTCCTCCAGGGTCGTACACCCACGTTCATACCTCGTGCGTGTCGTCTCGCTAGCTTATATGGACGATTATGCATGCAGGCGTTATCGTATATACGTTATACATAACGTGTACACGAGTTTAGAGGACTCGCCATCGTTTCAGGATGAATATCGTTTACCGAGAAATATACCTACCGATCCGCACTGTTTTCGATTCACGAATCGGCAGTTAATGACGCGATTCGTTGGTTTTTACCCGTGAATCATCGACGCGGAAAGCAATTTAGATCCTTTAGCTAAGCGTAATTTGAGCGGGAACTTTTCGAATTATCAAACGGAATTGTATTGTTGTTGCACAGATCACGAGAAGGAAGGATATGATAAACTGTGGCCGATGAAGAAGAGAGCAGCACGAACACGAGTACGAGCAGGAGCACGAGTAAGAGCAAGCGGCTTCGTCGAGGAAGACGAGAAGAAACGACGACGAGGCGGCGGCGGCGGCAGGAATACCGATAAAAAGATCAACACTAGATCTGATGTTAGCGGACATTAACGGTAACTTGGCGGATCTGAGAAGCGAAGCGATGGCGTCGCAGAGGTTTTGTCTGCGCTGGAACAATCATCAAAGTAATCTACTCTCTGTTTTCGACCAACTGCTCCATGACGAGTCGTTCGTCGACGTTACGCTGGCTGTCGAGGGTCAGCTACTCAGGGCACATAAAATGGTGCTGTCGGCGTGTAGCCCTTACTTTCAGGTAAGAATCAAACAGCCCAACCCAGTTTCGTCGACAACAAATAGAAAGAAAGAGAGAGCTAGTTGATTATAACTTGCCCATATGCTCTTTCTTCTAGGACGTTATCAATTATTCATAACCGATAGATTAATTTATACGATGCGGTATCAATAATTCATCTATTCCCTTTTCGGGGGATCCTTTTTCTTTTCTACAGGCCCTTTTCGTCGGCCACCCCGACAAGCACCCGATAGTCATTCTGAAAGATGTCCCATACGTGGACATGCGAAGCCTTTTGGATTTCATGTATCGCGGCGAGGTGAGCGTGGACCAGGACAGGTTAACGGCCTTCTTGAGAGTCGCCGAGTCTCTCAGGATAAAGGGTTTGACGGAGGTAAACGAGGACAAGTGTGACTTGCCTAGTATTACCTCATCGTTGCTTGGCAATCAAAACACAGTACCTCCACCGCCACCGAATCTACATAGAATAAACCAAATCGGCCCTCACCACCACGTATCGCAGAAGAGGATGCACCATATGTCGAGCCATCCTCTCCTCGGTTCGGCCTTATCCGCGCCAAAGAGGAAAAGGGGTAGACCGAGGAAGTTGAGCGGTTCATCCGACACACCGATCGGCGAGATATCCGGACAGGAGTTGCAGTCTTGCTCGGGAGCCGATCTGGTACAAGGCTCGCCGGAGATGATGGAAATGAAGATGAGTATCGACTTTCAGAGCGAAGGTAGCGGGAATGGTGGCGGGGGCGGTGGTAGAAGTGGGAACGGTACCGGTTCCGCGAGTAGTAACAACGTGAGCAGTAATAACCTGGGGAATTCGGCTACGACGGGAAACAACGCGGCAGCGTCATCCTTGTCGTCGTCGAGAAAGGACGAGCCAACGGAGAACGGTACCGATACACCTGAGTCGATTACACCCCGCGTCAAGAGAGAACCGGAACCAACGCCTAGCACCTCTGCCCAAGGTAAACTAATTATTCTACATGAAATAAAGGTGAAGGGTTTCAGACTCGTAGGGTAAAAGAATTGTTTTTATTCAATTATAGAAATGATTTGTTTCAATCATTTGACAGGCATCTTAGATTTGCTCGAGTAATTTATATGCGTCGTTTATTGCCGTCGAGTACATCATTACCAGTTATTAACGTCTTATTGATGACTGGTGCTATTTCACGTCTGATTGAATACTGTCATCTGTCGAGGATGACGCAGAAATTAATTTTACATTGCTCCTGAACTCTTTCCTTTTGTTTCAATAAAATATCTAACAGATGAATTTTTCAATAACCCCCTCGGGAATTTGTCGACTGATCTAATTCATTTGATTTGCTTATCAGGCTCTGACGAGACGTTCGCGCGGCCGCACAGTAGGCAAGGGAGCGAAGGTTTCAAGCAAGGTAAGAGATGCCATTGTCAGCTTACACGATTAACAGTTTGCTCCACTTTTAATCATCGTATCGTAACGTACGCGTAATCGAAATAACACGATGTAGGCTGGATCTTTAATGTCTTCGATACGCGTTCGCTTAAGCAGATTTAACACACGATAATTCCATTCGGAACGATTTAAACGGGTCAATTTAAAATCAGTTATTTACCTATAATATATGGAATTATGTTTGGACACGATACTGTTCAATAACATTTATTTTCAAATTAATGGAAAGTATATAATATTAGGGGTACGCAAAAATGTTCATTGTTTGCGTTCAGATAGCAATATGTTTATTTTTAGATTAGAAATCAGTAAAAATTATTAAACAACGATGAATAATTTTTCAGCTAGATTATCGTGCTATTTATAAGAAAGAGTAGATGGAAAATTTATCCTTAATTTATCTTTGTAAAATTAATTAAATCGAAAGGGAGAAACGTTAGTGTAACGTGGGTGCGTTTGAAAAACAATAACCTTATCGCAGCTTTAATCGTTCATTGATTTACTTGCTATAATTGAATAATATAAAAAGAACGATTCGTCGAGGTCGATCGACGGTAGTTAGTATGAAAGATTCGAGCCTTTCTAAAACACATATCCCCAACAATTCTATCAATAATTTATCTGTTAATTTGTATCATCAGGGTATCACTGTGAAATTACCATTAGATTTGAGGAAAATTACCAAAACTGCTTAACGATGTGCTAATGAATTTAATTTTTCAGAATTTTTCGTCCGTTAATTTTACCTTGTTCATCGTTGCGCGACTGCGAGCAATTTACGTGTTAAAAAAAAAAAAAAAAATATGCAATATCGCAACAGTGTTTCCGGGAAGGTTATCTTTTTTCCTTGTAAACCGTAGACTCAAGTACACTTGTAAAAATTAATGTTCCGACTCGAGTCGATGAATTTGTTGACGAACGCGATTCGTTAAGATGTTAACTCGAGGAGCTAGCATCCTTACGTGAAATTAAGGTCAACAAATCATGCCGAGTATTCGAAGGAAAGAAAAGCGATTTGGAGCAGCAGGTGAGAAATAGGGGCTCCCGGAACGTGTCGCGCGAATTTCTAAAGTCGACCCGTTGTTTAGAAAGAAAAACAAAGAACCGTTTCCTTTTTTTCCATGCAACCTGAAACAAATCTTTCGGCACAGTTAAAAGCCGTGGCGAACTAACGAAACACGATGCGCACTGTGTTTTGTTACGGGTTAAAAAAAAAAAAAATCAAAAACGAGGAACCCTCTACTTGAGTCACGCGTGTTGACCTGTGACAAAGTCGAAAATAAAATAGAAAAAAATAAAAAGAAAAAAAATGTATATACATATATATCGAGTACAGAAAATAATAATGCATAACGAAAAGAAATCAGAGTGTACGAGAGAGAAAAGGAAGCCGTCGTCTCGTTGAGGCCCATTTACAGGGTGTGTTGTATTATTACTCTTCTGAACCGACGAGACGTTCGAGCGGAACCAATATATAAAAAGAAAATGTGCCAAAAAAAAATAAAACAAAAAAAAAACACAAAGTTTACTACTACTACTACTACTACTATTACTACTACTACTACTACTACTATTACTACTACTACTACTACTACTACTACTATTTTACTACTACTACTACTACTACTACTACTACTACTACTACTACTACTACTACTACTACTACTACTACTACTACTACTACTACTACTACTACTACTTCCCTTTTCGAATGCTGTAGCCTCCAAAAAATATTCTAACCTACCACCCACCGATTCTCGTTCAAAGGACAAATATGTATTTTATATATACATACCCATGTAATTTATGCTCGGCCAATGTGCAGCGCCTCGTTCCTTTTTCTTACTTTCTCATTCTCCGTTCGTCTTATACATATACATATATTTTTATGTATATACGTACATTTCTGTTTGCTATCACTATTTTACTTACCCTTTCAAACCCGATTCTACTGTATACATATATAAATATATATATATATTTACACATCATCCCCGCACGAATGAGAAACGCTTCGCTGCCATTGGCCACTTGGTAAAAGGAGGGGGTGGAGCCAGCTTTTAGCGGTGCTTACTTTTTTTTTTTCTGATTTTTATTTCAAAACGCTGGTTAACTGGTTTTTTTTTCCACGTTCGTTCGTTGCGAGGAAGTTGCGAACGCAGTTTATATACGTTCCCCGAGTGATGACAGACCGCGGTGAAATTTAAAAAAAAAAAAAAAAAGAAAAGAAAGAATAAAATAAAAAGAAAAGAAAACGAAAGAAAGAAAGATGCGTGCGTGTAGTAACGGACAACGAACGTCGGCAGGTTTTTATCGCTTCCGCCTTCTCTTGCGTTCTTCTCGTTGCCTAGTTCAGTTCACCGCGAGTGGAAAGAAAACGCGAAGATTTTTCCATCGAAGAACCTACCGAAGGAGAGAAAAAAGAAACGAACACGAGAAACGAAGGAAATAATGGAGAAAAAGAGAGAGACACAAGTTTGAGCGAGAGATTGAGAAAAAGAGATGATAGAAAAGAAAAGAAAAAAAATACTGACGTTTACGTTCTTTGTGCAAATGGAAGGAGAGAAAAAAAAGAACAGAAAAAAAAAAAACAGAAAACAGAATATAAATGAAAAATGAAATAACTGTACTAACGTACACGCACGCACGCACGGACGCGTCTACAAACAGAGAGTGCTTCGAAGATGTCGAACATAACGATGATCGTTCGGTAGTGACCGTGAAACCGTGTTGCTTTTGTTCTCTTTGCGCAGGTGAGTTGAGATTAATCTGAGTCACCATTCGATCTCTGAGAGATTACCTTTGCGCGGGGGAAGCGAGGGAACTAGGGGAGGCCAGCCGCTCAAAAATCATAATGAAACCGTTCCGAAATGCCAGAATCTAAAACATATAATAAATAAGAGAAAGTTCGAAATAAATAAAAAGATAAATAATCTGATGTGTAACAGAAGCGAAAAGCGGATTATAACTAGTCAAAAAAAAAAAAAAAAAGTATATATATATGTGTGTGTAATCGCATCGAAGCTGAAATCATACGTTTGCTTCTTCTCGAGCGTCCCTCGATCTCGATGGATCGTCTTCCCGTTAAAAGATGGATCACGATTTGACTTTTTTGACGGGACGCACAGACGATTATCTTTAAACATGGGAGGGTTTGTTTGTTTGTTTCATTTTTTTTTTTTTTTTCATTTTCGTGTGTGTGTGTACATGATCATTAACATTCATGTGTATTCTTGTTTGGCTGAGGGTGAACGCGGGTGAACGAAATTGATACCTTGACCGCCATTTTGGTCTCCACTGATTCGACGTCTCAAGTGGAAAATAAAAATAAATTATTCCTTTCTTTTTTTTAAATAAATATTCATTTTATGGCGGTCAAAGTGTTAAATATCGTGTGATTGTTGAAGTGCAAAAGAGGTGAATGAAAAGTGAGAGAAAAATAGAGAGTGTGATGTAGAGTGCATGGTGCATATCCATTTGTAAGAAAGAAAGAAAAAAAGAAAGAAAGAAAGAAAGGGTTCGTTGTGCCGGTGAAATGCTGTTGTTGGCATGGCGAAGCAACAGGACCGTAACGGTCCTCATCGGTGCCGTACGGGATCGAGGCAAAGCCGCGATCAACAGCGAGCCAGAGTAGCGAAAGCGTGCGTGAGAGGGAAAGAATCTGAAGAGGGAATGACGACGAAAGCACAGGGTGGGGAAAAAGAAAAAAAAAAAAAAGAAACGGAAAAGCGGGTGCGGCATTAAAACACTTTACATGGGACAGAGAGTTTGACGGACAGCCGGTTCGAATACGGTGACTCTTTTTTGCTGGCTCTACCCTTCCTCTTGCTTCCCCCCACAAATATTAGATATACGTTATTATCAGTACATTATTTTATATACACATTTATTATTATTACTATATATAATGGAATATAATTGACATACTTAAGAGTCTACATTATTATAAGTATACAGTCGGTCCCTCGTATTCGCGGCTATCACCTTCCAAAGGCCATTATTCAATTACGATAATATTGTTAATAAAATTAAAATAAATTGTACTGAACAGTACGATGTACAATTATAGTGTACTCTTTATATTTATTTCTTTTGGGCCTTCACCCAAATGGGCGCCACACAAGTCCGCGATTATGGGGTTCCAACTGTATTATAATAAGAAATACAGGGTGGGTTGTTTAAAATAGACTGTCTGAATAATTGAATCGTTTACGATTATGGAAAATAGGTAAGACCAATGGTACTTGGTTTTGAGGGGGTGGTTTTTGTAGGTGGTGGTGCAGCAGAGATACGAAGGTAACTTGAATGTTTTAATACATTTTTTAATAATGTTTTATACATAGTTCTCCTTCGCCTCTTCAACACCTTCACTGACAAAAATTGATTAACATTAAATTATGTTTCCTCTGAAATCAAGTAAGATTGATTAGATATGTTCAGTATCATCAGAAAGGTATTCAGATGATCCTTTTTAAATGCTCCTCCCTGATATTAGGGTGAAACGAAATATAAGAACAGTTCTTCATTTTTTCTAATAGTGAATTCAAATTACCTTGAAACTATTTCTTCGACCTTGGTAATTTTATAACAAAGTAATTTTTCTTCACTATTAGAAAGCATACTCACTTTCTTTCCACCCTAATTAATAAATCTATATGATATACATATATATACACATATAAAATAAAGTAGTAAAAATTAGGTGGACTTTGAGAACTGTTTAAAGGAGTGAGCTTTGTTCGTTTCAGACTCGGAGGAGACGTCGAGTGGCGGTGGCTCCCAGTCACCGACTCACATTCGCATCAACTTCGAGCGATGCTTTCGCAAGGAGTACAGCGCGTCGTCTCTTCAAGGGAAAACATCGTCGGCCACCACCGCGTCGTCCATGATGGACGATTCACAGCAATATTCCGACTCCGAGTCGGAACAAAAGTCCGTGTCGAAAGACAATTTGAGCAG